GTCGGCTTGGAGAGTATTTACTTAAACACAGTTTATGTCTTAAGTGGAGGAGAACAGTTGGGAGAAAATCCGATGTGTGTCAATATATTGTCTTAAAGTGACAGACTGGCGCTTGGGCCATCAGTTAATCAAACAACAAAATGCAAAGACAAAATCACTCACAGCTCTTAATCTGAATTACGTTATAACTTTAAGTATTACTCTATCAATACATACAGTGAAAACTGTAATTACTTAACTTACTTGTAATACTTAATTACTTGTAATTACTTACCTGAACAGTAATGTTAGTAGACCTTCATGGAAAAATGAAAGCACTGTTTATTTCATTTCATTTGTATATTTGTTTTATTGTATTTGTCAGTTTGTTTTACTTTGTTTCTTTGTTCATGTTCTTACTGCATCTTGTCTTATGTACAGTTTAAAACACTAAAAATGCCTGCACACTGGTGCATTTACAAATTGATGAGTACCGAATCGATAAGCAGTATCGGTAAGAGTAGTAATACTGTTAAAACCTTAACGATACCCATCCCTAGTTACCACTGACTGTGCTGGTTTGTAACCCTGTGCTGATTTGTGCTGCTGTTGGTAGATTGTGTTGGTCATTAGAGATGTAAAAGTATAAAATACTTATCACAATCTTATCTTATCACAATTATAGTGACCAAAATGATCACGGTTATCAGTATTATCACGGTATTGTTAAAATGTGCTGGAAATGTTCAAAAAGCACTCACACATAAATCGTTTCACCAAGTTTTATATTTAAAATCAACAAATAACAAATAAAATGACTTTTTGTTTGCATAAACACTAAAACAATAACATTACCAATGATGTCCTGATTTTAAATGACAACATGACTGACACTTTTTCTAATAACATGTACGAAATGTGACCCTGGACCACAAAACCAGTCATAAGGGTCCATTTTTTTTAATTTTTAAAGACTGTTACTTAAAATTTTGCATTATATTATTTTCATTTATCCTGAGTTGTTCAAATCGTGGTAATCGAATACGGATTTAATTACATTTAAAATATGAAACGTAATACTTACTGTGGGGAATTTTATCATGATTTATCATCAAACCGGTAATCGTTCCATCCCTATTGGTCATTATGGATGTGAACTGACTGAGTCTGTGTTCTTTGCGCACTGTCAATACATCAACCACATAACTTTTCACTCCCATCTGCACTTTTATGGAATTGCGTTCTCACACTAATTTGTCCTGATTAGTAAATCTGGCCCTTAGATTGCAAAGCTCAACTTTATTATATTGTTAAAATGTTATAGTATTGTAATATATAATATGTAATCTATTATACAGTATATATATATGATCTCTTGCAATATAATTAATTGATATGCACAGCTGTGCTATTTTAATATAATTGATACTATTATATTTTTTACTCATATTTTGAATTACTTTTTATATTTTCCATTTTTAATTTTGTTAAAGCCCCTACAGCACCGTCACACACCACATTTTGAGGATCCCTGCTTTCAGTTTCAGAGAAAATCTCAAAAATTACATCTGCAGTAACTCTCTCACTTATTAGAATAAACACGCAAGACAAGGTTTATACTTTCAAAACAAAAGGGAACAACATTAAGTCTCCTGAGCTAAGAAAAAGCAACCTCTGAGCAATACAAATTTTCTCCAGGGAGACAGTTAAAAATAATTTTTTTTTTTTTTTTGACAAGGTGTACAAGTCATGCTGTATGCTGTCTTTGCCTTCATTTGGACATTTCGTTTGCTCCAGTACACCCAGTTAAAACAGCATAGCAGTGCTCCTCCATATAGCTGTAAGTTCAAAGGGCCACTCAGCAAATGACTCACATGGGCCTGGCCTGCTTCTGTGCTCACCATGCCGTACCAATCAATGTCTCTCTCTCTCTGTCTGCTGAATACTCTCGTTCCGTTTCTATTTCTCTCTCTTGTTCTGTCTCTCTCTCTGTTCTCGGACACTCCCAATGAGTTTAAGCAGAGAGAAAAATCAACAGCAGTTTGCCAGCACATCCACAGGGAGGGAAGAAACTGACATAAAACCTCTGCGAAGAGCAGAGGCATGAGAAACTGCCATGATGAAAAGAGGAAAAGACAAAGCAAAAGGACAAAAATCAATGAAGTTAATAGGGCTGCCATGAGTTACAGCATGCCAGGGAGTAAGTTCATGCCCACTGGTTTAAAAAAGCATAGAGTGATGTGTGCTGTTTGTTGTACAGAGAAAAGAGCCTGAACACAAGGGAGGGTGAAGACAATGAATATAAATGGGCTTACACAAATTGTATAAAAAAAAATACAAAGGAAAATGAAAATGTTCTTGGCTGAACATTCAATTTCAGCCTCAAGACGTCATGCATCACAATACCGTAGAGTTTGTTTGGACACACAGACTTTGGCATCAACAGCAAAATATACTG